GTCGATTGTATTTATTATAAGTAGTAGTTAGTACGAGTGAGCAGTGAGAAAACCAACAGCTGGACGAAATGAGAGACCCGATGAAGAGCAAACTAGAGTTGTATCCATTGGGTGCATGGTGGGAAACCCGCCTTGGCAACAAAGGCTCTTTACAAGTGTTTTGGATAGCCATGATAAGAAGGTATCCCTACAGCCCATTCTTCCATGAAGTTCTATCGACGGCGGCACTACGGGGGCAGTGTGAGTGCCGTCGTCAGTGGTGGGAGCGTTAGTCGATTGTAGTTATTATAAGAGTAGTTAGTATGAGAGAGCAGTGAGAAAACCAATGGTTGGACGAAACGAGAGACCCGGTGCAGAGAAAACTAGAGTTGTATCCATTGGGTGCGTGGTGGGAAACCCTCCTTGGCAACAAAGGCTCTTTACAAGTGTTTTGGATAGCCATGATAAGAAGGTATCCCTACAGCCCATTCTTCCATGAAGTTCTATGGACTGCGGCACTACGGGGGCAGTGTGAGTGCCTTCGTCAGTGGTGGGAGCGTTAGTCGATTGTAGTTATTATAAGAGTGGTTAGTATGAGAGAGCAGTGGGAAAACCAATGGTTGGACGAAACGAGAGACCCGGTGAAGAGCAAACTAGAGTTGTATCCATTGGGTGCGTGGTGGGAAACCCATCAAGGCAACAAAGGCTCCTCACAGAGTGATTGGACAGTGATGATGGGAAAGTAATCCTACAGCTTCTCTTTTTGCCCAGTTCCTGATCCTTGAGTTTATAGGCAGTAAGTGGAAGTTTGTCCTTAGTTTGTTCTTAGTTTTCCGATGCCTTTAGCGCTGGGGTATGTCTGCAGGAGCTTCAAGTTTTACCTTTTTGAGAAGTTCTTTTTTCACTTCTTTTGAGAGAAGAATGGTTGGGACGCTGGACCCGGTTTCCAGCATGGTTCCCTTGTGACTTCCGGGTTGAATTGTGAGGTCCCCGGCCTCGACCACAATTATTTCTTTGAATATAAAGCGACAACTTCTCAAAAAAAAATAAAAAATAAAAAAATGGGGATGTAGGGATTTCCAAACCATGCAATTCCGTATATATATCTTTTGTTTTGCCTATTTTCCTGGGAAATAAGTATACTGTAAATTTCGCGGCCACACACAACCGTATGCGGTTGGGCCGGCGGTCACAATCCTGACCACATGCGGTCAGCGGCCCCGCAGTCATGACCGCGGGGGATACATAGCAGGACTCGGATTCCTACCTGATACAATAAACAACAACATTTATCCAAAGGATAAACTTTGAGGAAGATAGACCAACGACCGACTGTCTACCTGCAAAAATTGTCGCGGTTCTATCATCTGTGTTACTTCCTGATTGCCGATACTGACCCACGCATGTGAACCCAAGAGAGAAGGTATGAGCAAGGAAGGATGGGCAACAAAGGTCACCATGAAAGAGGCTTCTGAATAAGAGAGATTACCACCAAGGTAAGTTCGTTGTCTAGACGCTGGTATTGAACGTTGCCTCCGTAATAATCTTGCTGTGCGGTAGCCGCTGAAGTCAGGTACAGCAGCTGAGGTTCTCTCGCTATACCGGTAACGGTGTATCCATAGGTCGTTTTCACAGCATCCTGGTTGGGGGGCGGAACAACCATCGGGGGGCGGAACAACCATAGAGGTAAACGGGCTCATGCGTGAATGGCCATCAGCATAGAGAGATGCCATTACCGCGGTAACTAGCACAGTGATAACGCGAGTACCCCCTGATGGGCCGACCAATTACGCGAGAGGCGTGTTCCAGCGGGCGGCGCAAGCCACGAGTGCTACACCAGCACCGTCGGCAGCGCCACTCCCCCTTCTCTGGTCATTAGCATTTTGTCTGCCTAGACTAGAGGTCGACTCTACTAGTTCAGTCCCAGATAGCCAAGTAGCGGATACATAGGTCACGATAGGTGGATAGCTATACAAGAGATTTTTGCGACTCTGTTTGTGGAAAGTGGAGCAATGAAAACCTCTACAAAATTGTTGAGTGGAGAGTAGTGGATCGAGACCCTATATCAATAGTAGAGGAGGACTAGAATCCGTGTGGAAATGCTGGCCGTCTCCCTTGTATTCCCATTTCTGCTGTGGGATGCAATAAAATAATTGGTAGGTAATAATCGAAGCCCCCTCCTTTTCCTCACTGAGCCCCCACCCCCCCCCCAATCCCCAGCAATTCCGTGTAATACCCCTTTTCTCCCGAGTCATCYCCCCCCCCCCCCCCCCTMCCCAACCCCTGTTGGAGGACCCCTTCCACACCACCCTATCGCCTGTGCCTAGCCTCGCTGAAACTCGCGGCCCCACCGGTGCATGCACCTACGCATGCATCTAGTAGCCCGGGTACATCTGGATCCCGAACCTCAACCCGTACTTCCTGGTCTGGTCCAGACTGCAGTCGACATCCTAAAGTAGCCGCCCGCGGGCTTCCCGGATTTTCGGGGCCCGAGGCCGTCTCTCCAGTGGCGAACACCTTCCTTCGTTCCGTCGGGACTTCAGTTGGAGCCCGTCCCGTACGGTCCACTTCAGGTCCCGTCAGCGCTCCCCGACAGTCTGCACCGGTCCAACTAAAAGTAGTCGCAGCGCGGCGTGCCTGCTGGCCTGATGGCCTGGCCCCGCTACCAGCCAAATTCGAGAACTAACGAGTGCACTGTCCGCTTCTCAGTTCCCACGTTTGGCGTCTAGTGCAGCGAGTCCCGTCTGTTTGAGTCCGCTCTGAGCGGTAATCAACCGGTTCGGTCCAGCGCGGTCCAGTCCGCTTCAGTCCGCTTCAGTCCGGTGTACTTCGGTCCAGTCCCGGTTTGAGCGGAGTCGGTCCGGTGCGATCTGTTCCCCCCGCTTCGACTCTTCCCGCCTCGCGGGTTGCTCCAGTTTTTCAATTTATTTTTATCGAATCCTTGCCCCGCCTTGTCGCGGGCTCCCGGCTTGTAGTTAGCATGCCCTGCATATGTTTGTCGCTTGTGGGTTCCATTTTTTTTGGTTTTTTTTAATTATTCTTGGTTCGTTGTTGTTTCGCCAGTTTTTTTTTTTTTTTTTGTGTTTGTTTTCCTTTTCCGTCGGCTGGGCTTTGTCATCCCGCCCGTCGGTCGTCCGCCAGTCCGTCCATTCGTTGGCCGGTCTCTCCTGCCGAGGTTGTCCGCTTGTGCCCGCGCGCGTGCGCCTGCCAGAGCTAACCTTGGCTGTCCGCCGGCGCGCCTGCCTGGCTGGCGGAAGTTGGCGGGGTAGTTGCGCTCGCGGTGGTGCTCTCCGTTCGTCGTGCTTGTCCCGGCGTGGGGCCGCGAGAAGACGGGCGCGTGCCGGACTCGTGCGAGCGCTAGCGAGGGTCGGAAAACGACAAGCTCGAGGCCAGGCGGGCGGCCGGGCGGAAGAGAGAGCGGCCTGGAAGGGGGGGGGGGGGGGTGAAGGGGGGTAGGGTGCGCCAGCTCTGCAGCTGGTGGTGCTGCTACGTCCCTGGATCTCCTGGCCGGTGGGTGGGGTGGCTACCAGGAGGCGGAGGGACGGGGTGGCTATCTACAAGCGGGTGGGAGTCGGAGTGGCCGTGGGGGAGGTGGAGTGACCCATGGGTCGCGCGGCAAACCGCTTATGGAGGGCGCCAAGCTGGCGCGCCTATGGGTAGCCGGCCGGGGGTATGGGGGCGCCCTCCTGCCCCGAGCTGGCGTAGGGAGAACTTTCAAAATAGTGTGCCCCGATGGTGTCAGAGCGACAGAGTGGATGGACGAACTGGACTAATAGCCACTGCTTCAGGGGGCATGAACTTCCACCTCCCAGTAGGCAGCGAATCCCGTCTCCGCGCGTTTGTGCGCGATGTTGCGCTGAGTTGTGCGCACTGCTGGGAGCTCCGCGCGCGGCAAGTCCAGCAAACACCCATTGTCCGGCTTTCCACGACACAACCGCGGTGGCTCAGACGCTTCCTATGGATACGCCTCTCCCCCCAGAAGGCGACGTCGATGATTATTACCACGAACGGCACGCTCATGGCCCGCGTGCGTTAGCAAGACACGCAAACAAAGCGGAAGACACGATGAGAGCACCCCGCACATAGACGCGGACACACACGCTCGCGCACGCGTACGCACACACGCACACACACGCACACACTCACACACACAGAGAG